CAAAATGTGTATCTTTTCCCGCGTAAGGAGCCAAATATTGTTTTCTTTTTGTATTTTCCTATTTATATTTTATTGGTGGCAGGGGATGTTGTAAAATAGAATTGTTGGTAGTAAATCTATGAGCGTAGAAACTGTCTGGGCTGTCCGCCAGCAACGCAACAGACATACGCACATGTGACTGCGCCGCATCAAACTGTCATCGGCATAATGCCGTAACATGGCCCGTTATTTATTGACTCTTTTACAGTTTTTGCACCCGGAACAGCAGTTGATAGTCTGTGATGCTTATTTGTCCTTTTGTCGTCACCCCTGGGCAATATACTGAATTACACGACATAAACTGTCGCTTTCAAACTTAATATTCAAAATATAAATTCACAACTTAGTAAATGTGCGAATAGGCCACGCCATAGCTCAAGAGGTTAGTTGCTGGCTTCTTACCGCGGCTGCCCGAGTTCGAGTCCTTGTCTGGTCATTTGGAATTTCTGGTGGGCAAAGTGGCGCTGGGGATGGTTTTCTCCTAGTACTTTGGTTTCCCCTGCAAATCTTCATTCCACCAATTGCTCCACAGTCACCCTCACCTATCATCTGGAGCTGGTACAATAGGCCGGTAGTGGCCGCAGTACAAGGGACCTAGTCCCACCCCGCTAAGAAAAAATGCCCGAATGAGTTGGTCAGACTTCGTTATAATCTGTAAATTCGCTTCTCTTTAAAATGGTTTCCTGTCAGAAACTCAAGTGCAGCACAAGTAAAAGTTATTTTGACTAATGGAATTGTAATTTGCCATTCCGAAAAGTTTTAATAAAGATTCGCACAAAATAACCTAACCTCACCTTCTCAGGTTTAATACCTTGTTTTATCTGTCCTGCCTTGAAAATGATATGGCGAATTCCTAGCTCAGATTACAACTGCTTGCTTTCACAATTTCCAATTCTTCGTTCATTAATCATCTCATAGGTTTTTAACATGGGCATTTGGGAAAAAGTCGTTAAACAAAAAAAAATCAGTCGTCAGAATTTGAAATAGAATTTTCAGGAAGCCCGAGGAATGAACACGAAATTTTACGGCAGGAATTAATTTTGTGTTCACATTTATCTAATGTGATGCTTATTTTAATTGAAGCCCAGTTAAACTCCATCAATCAAGACTTATCTTAAGAGAATGACTTGGCAAATGCTTCCAGCCGATTCTGTTTTCGCCATCCTTTGCTGAACAAACAGAGGATACTAACAGCATCCTAAGAAGGATTATCACATTTTCTTTCTGTTACTTGTCGAGAGGCAGGAACTGATTATGTAGCCGCATTTGATTGACGTAGAACATACATATTATAAGACACTTATAATGATTATACTATAAAGTTGACCCTATGCTTAAATAATTAAGCACTACGCCATAAAGGCGTATGGAGCAGTAGANCACCTGAGGACGGAAACAGATCCAGTTTCCGAAACGTCGTGTTTTTGTTATCTTAAAAACCAGGACGATGGATAAAGTCCAGAATCCCAACATATCAATAGATGTATAGATCCGCGTATTCTTGAGACCTCGGCACTAGTTTCAAGTGAGTGGTCAGCTTAACGCCCCAGTCGCTTTACCCCAGGAGAAAGATCCTCCGGCATCCATTTGAAAGCAGGTTGGGCGTGCCTCAGAACCGGTCTGGACGACGTGGAAAGGAGAACATTTTTCACCCTACTGGGACTCGAACTCCAACCCCTCGACCGTCCAGATCATAGCCAGTTGCTATACCAACTGGGCTATCCCGACTCCTCAATGATTATAGTGTAGCAGTATAAGATGTGAATGCCAATAAACAGGAATTAATTGTAACAAATTTAAGAATAGAATTACCGTGGAAGAGGACTTTTAATGTTTTTTGGCTAGATATTTCTGATTTTTCTCACTCGAAAGTACTGGAATTCTTATACCCTGAAATGTATCCTTACTTGAAGTACACTGTGGTCTTTCTTAGACCGATTCAGTTATGCAAGTCTAGAATACTAACAGACACTGCAGAACGTAACAAAGACTACAGAGCATGTGGCATACACACAAGACTACACGGCATAAATCCCAGATGATAGTATTCTCCATAATGTTCACCGTGACAACCTCAAATTTCACACCTTAAATTGTTATTCATTTCGAAAATTACAGTTATCACTAAAATGAAGATAAATATGTCCGGTTGTTGTGGCGAGTGTGATACTCGGCAATTTATTTCACATAAGTTTGATCTGAACTGTGAATGAATTCCGTCTTCCGGAATATAACGACGTGTAGTCCCGTGGAAGCCAACAGACGTTTCAGAGGAACATATTGCATCTATCTTCAAAGTCGAAGAGTAGGCCAAAGAAGAAATCAGTGCGAAGCCGACATTTAATAACTAAATAAATCATATCAAGTTGCTGAATTACTCGCAGTCCACTCTTCACAATCCAGAGTATATAGCTATAAGTAAAACTTTTTTTTTTAAGTTCACTCTTTCACGGTTACTGAGGTTGGTGTAACAGAGCTCAGTTGACGAACTAATGGAAAGAACTAAATAACACCAAACCCCCTAGCCTCGGTGCTATGTGAAATACGTGCCATGTACTTAAATGAATAATGTTTAAGACAACACGCTCAAAATTAAACGTATGCGCTGGGAGGTCTGAAATATATTTCGCTTGCATTTCCAGCTTCTATCCACGCAACTGCATTAATTTAGAAGGGTAATGTTATGGGAAGGTTGTGCCATAACGGGGCGCCTATTAGTGGGCTTCTCACCACGTACTCCCGGGTTCAATCCCAAATGACTTGGCTCACGAATGATGGTAGGCGGAAATGACAATGTAGAACATTTATATGTGATGCTATTCTATTTTCCCCGCCAGTCATCATTCCTCCATTGCCTCTTCCTCATCTGTCACCGCTCCCTAAGTTGTGCAGTAGCCTTGATGAGGCAGCACATTGCCACATGCTCGGTATTTAAGTTGATGCTCAATCTCTATGATCTCCTTCCTGATGCTTGTCTCATTACGTAGTGAGGAAGGTTTATTATTTTCGGATGATCCAAAATCTGATTTATGTTGCTCTTATGTTCACATTAGGCAAATAGACAAGATAAAGCATGAAACCTTACGAAATGCTATGCGTACTGCTTAAAAATAAAAATAGCGTCAGCGTAAAGGTAATTCCTTTTCTCGGCCTGTTGTAGACATAATGAAAGCACTGAGAATAAATTGTACGTGTGAACGTAAAGTATATAGTCAAACGAGACGAACTCGACGCAGAGGGCTTCTAATCGTAGCAGTGAAACGGTATATAACTCGTAGAACTAATATTTACTCACATCCCAGAGTTCCTGGCTTTCAGTAACAACTGACGAACGGAGCTGCGTCATACTTGATTCATTCACAAGATATCTTGTTGTTGGCTTAGGTGCAAATGTTCACATATCGGTAACCATATTTCTGTTGGTATTTCAACTCGTAATTTCATAGATCGCTCCATCTGTGGCTGTCAGCTAACATAATGCGTTTTAAGATGTCTTTCGCCTGTTCAAGATTCCACAGATTTTTGTTATGCATTATGAATATTGATGATATGGCACATGATTCGTCCGCACTAGTTGAGGAATACCGCGAAAATATAAATGTGCCTTCTTTGGTAAGTGCAGATCGGTGGAAGATCAATACGACTAGATTTACAAGTAGTCTTTTTGAAAAAAAAAAATGTCAGCAAGAAGAGCTATTGTGTATGAAATATGTGTTTGCGGAGCTACAAAAGCCTAATGCAGACGACCTTATATTCAGAATTTATGACTCTAATTTATTGTATAAGACCGCCTCTGTGGTCTAGTGGTCAGCGTTTCTGGCTACAAATCCAGATGTCCGGGTTCGATTCCCTACCGGATTTTTTCTTAGGAGTAGTGGGTTTGGAACGGGGTGCACTCAGCCTCGTGATCAGGAAATAGCGGATCCGGTCTAGAAAACCGAAATTAACGGCCGTGGGGATTCGTTGCGCTGACCACACGACTTCCTCTATCCGCAAAAGCTGGCACTAAACTTCGCCGACAAGCGGCGGTCGCTCGGTCGGTATAGTTCGCTTGCGGACTTCAGGCCACGGAGTTATTTATTGTATAACCGAGAAAGTTAAAAATAAGAGAACAGTCAGTTGTTTCTGTATTGTAAAAAGGCTTTATGTAATGAAAGATAATGTTGTTTCTTTGTCTGTTACCCTACAAGAGTGTCTGAGAACAAAGAACTGAGAAAATTTTTTACATCTGATACAGAGGAAGTAACAAGAGACTGAATATAGAACACATATCAAGCAACTAAACAATTTCATTCATAAAAAATTATGGAATTAATAGAAGTCAAGGAAGACATGTCAAATGGGACATAGGCATTCTTTGGGGTACATAGAAAATGTACACAAAATTTTAATATAAAAACCTGAAGGGAAGAGTAATGTGGATTTAACTGGCTCGGAATTATTTTGAATACGGCAATAAACCAATCGATTCCATAAAAGACGTGGAACAGCTACCAGCTTCTCAAGAATGACTGCTAAGTTGGGTTGGTTCATGTTAGTACTGTTCTTACTGCCATTTCTGTTGTGACTCCAGCTACTATAGGAACAAGGGTGCGTCATCGTCAGTCAATGACACAGATAATTACGCCAACAGAAAACAAACTCCGTGCTTTTAGTCCGCAAGCGAACTATACCGACCGAGCGACCGCCGCTTGTCGGCGAAGTTAGTGCCAACTTAGCGGCAAATCATTGCACTCTCATTTGAAAATTATGGCATAGACCCCAACATGAAATTGACATAAACTTAAGTAGGGCTTTTCGCCATAAGGATACATACATAACATATGACATGTCCTTATCCATAGAGTAGATGGACTATGTTGAATGTAAGAGATTAGAATCTGCGCCACCTGTTTCACCAAGTACAGTCAGTTCCGCACAACGTGTGTTCTAATGCAATTTATGTCTTGGTCTACTTACAGGTTGCCAGGCAGTGGCTCGGGGTCCAGTCTCTCTGAGCTTCAGTTCCTGGCGGCGTCGCGGCGGGCTGCGGCGGCTGCTGCAGGGGCGGTGTTGCCCCCAGGGGCAGGTGGGGCCGCGGGGCCTGCTGGGGCTGCAGGGGGTGGCGTGGCTGTACCACCACCACCACCCCCACATCATCCCCCGGGCCCCGACTTTCACCCCGCTTATAGGCTCAATCCTTACATGGAGCACCTGTACTCTTCTCTTCAGCAGCATTCTAGTCCAGCCGCGTCCCTTCACGGTCAGTGCAGCTTGTGACGCCCCTCACGTGTTCTGTAGCCGAATTTTGTCATGATACATTCTAGTCCAGCCGCGTCCCTTCACGGTCAGTGCAGCTTGTGACACCCCTCACGTGTTCTATATCCAAATTTTGTCATGATACATTCTAGTCCAGCCGCGTCCCTTCACGGTCAGTGCAACTTGTGACGCTCCTCACGTGTTCTGTACCCGAATTTTTATCATGATACATTCTAGTCCAACCGCGTCCCTTCACGGTCAGTGCAGCTTGTGTCTCTCCTCACGTGTTCTGTAGCCGAATTTTATCATGATACATTCTAGTCCAGCCGCGTCCCTTCACGGTCAGTGCAGCTTGTGACGTCCCTCACGTGTTCTGTACCCGAAATTTGTCATGATACACTCTAGTCCAGCCGCGTCCCTTCTCGGTCAGTGCAGCTTGTGACGCCCCTCAAGTGTTCTGTAGCCGAATCTTGTCTTGATAAATTCAGTCACTAAGTCCATGGAGCCCAGTCCGTCTCGAGAAGCCATCAGTTTCTCAGTTACTCAAGAATTTCTCGTTTTATGAAACCCTAAGGTTCATTACCGTGATCACAAAGAGCCCACCACTGGTCCCTATCCTGAGCCCATACCATCCCCTCATATTTATCTAATACCCTTCTAAATGTTATCCTTCCACATGCATCTGTTTCTTCTTAGTGGTCCCTTTCCTTCTGGTTTTCCCACCAAAACCCTATATGCATTCTTGTTCTTCCTCATTCGTGCTACATGCTCTGCTCATCTCATGCTCCTTGACTTCATACGTCCAATTTTATTTGACGAGGAGTTCAATTTATGAAGCTCCTCATTATGCAGTTGCCCCCAACCCGCTTTCATTTCATCCCCCTCAGCTCAAAATATCTTATCATCGTGTTCTCAAACGCTCTCAGTTTATGTTCTTACCTTAACGTTAGAGACCAATTTCGCACAAATACAAAACCACGGTCAAAAGTATAATTTTTACGTTTTTATACAGTAAATGGGAAGACGAAACTGAATGGTAGCAAGCATTACCCGAATTCAGTCTGTTCTTAATTTCGTCACAAATTTTGATTTCTTATTTTCGTTCTCTTTTGCTACGTTTTCAAAGGATCTGTTAGTTCTCTTTAGATTATGATTTTGTCCTGCTTTCTGGTGACAATTCATTAGCATATACCACGTTTCTTTGTGTATTAACCTGTAGACGAACTTCCTTACAATCAGCAATGAGCTCGTCTTTATGTAGCAGGCCACCAAGACTGAAGAGGACAGAAACAAACTGGAAGACACTCGACAGCAATATCAGCATGTCGTGACACACTCAGAATATTTAGACCGTAATATAGGTCACGGTAGCCGAGCGGTCTAAAGCATGTGCTGCCTTAGCTCGCTCGGAAGCCCGGATCGTGGGTTCGAATCCCACTCAGGGCATGGATGTTTGATATGTGTATGCGCTTATTCTGTTTTTGTGTTGTTCTGTGTTTAGGTAGAGGCCTTGCGACGGGCTGATCTCCCGTTCAAGGAGTCCTACCGTCTGTAGAATGATCATGAAACTGAGAAATCAGCTCTATACTCCAAATTGGGAGAAAGAGGAAGGGGGGGGGGAGGCTCTGAGGTGGAGATAAAGTTCTCCACGTGCTTAATTAATTAGCCATGACACCATCGAGACTTGCGCATAGGTGCACGAATTCTTACCCTCGGTACTAGATGAAGGCGAACGCAGCTTCATGCTCCTGTCCCTCCACGCCCGTGGAATTATGCGTCTGTACAAATTGGATTGGCTGGGTGGGCAGTATAGCTAGTGGGGCCTCTAGAGGAGAGAACTTGATGTCGAACCCCGATTCCTTGGCCGTATAAGAAGTAGCCCCTCGATATACATACCGAGCTGAGAGAAAATATAAAATTAAATGGCAGTCCAACAATCTGAGAAACTTTAAAACTCACACTACTAGACAAATCCGAAATCAAATTTATTCTGTAGGTCTATATATTCTTATTGTTTTATTTGGAGCCTAATGAAACAAAACAAACTCCGTGGCTTGAGTCCGCGAGCGAACTATACCGACCGAGCGACCGCCGCTTGTCTGCGAAGTTAGTGTCAACTTTAGCGGATAGAGGGTGTTACATGGTCAGCGCAACGAATCCCCACGGCCGTTGATCTCGGTTTTCTAGACCGGAGCCGCTATTTCTTAGAAATATCTCCTCAGTTATCCTCACGAGGCTGAGTGGACCCCGTTCCAGACCCACTACTTCTCAGAAAATCTTGTAGCGCCGGGAATCGAACCCTGACCTCTGGATCTGTAGCCAGGAACTCTGACCACTAGACCACAGAGGCGGTCTTTGGAGCCTAATACGAGTTGTTAAAGGAAGAAACAGTGATAAGAATGGAGACAGCAGGAAAGTTTCCCTCAGAACTGTCGTAGGACACTGAATGAACTATCATGGATGTAATAAAGACCTTAGGGAAGAATAGAAAATAAAATTATGTTAGTACAGTGGTAACAAGTATCTAAGTAAATGGCTGTCATTCATAATGAGCATTCGAAGAAAGGTCAGTTTTATTTGCATCGTGCCCAAATGTGTCGTGTCGTGCATGCTGCGTCTGCACCTGCCCCATTCAGTGCGAACGTATGAATGAACTTGACCCGCATTCAGCAAGGAAAGATAATCCGGAAGTGATAGCACTCCATTACGCCGTGTTTCGTTTCAAGGAGCCCTCACATTTTTATCGCATCGTATGATATGGAGGATGCACGTGTCCCGGTTACAAAGTGTTCCCGGATGTCAGGGATATTACGTTCAAAGTATAGAATTTCAGTAACCCTTGAAGCTACATAATACAAAACGGTGCATACAACAGTTTCTTCAATGATGCCTTTAGGTTTTATCCTGTAAAAGTAAGATCTCGCTGCTATTAGCGCATTTCTCGAAACTGTTTTCGTATCTTTAGAAGCTCCAGTTGAGAGTCGCCGTAGTATAGAACACATATAATATACATACACTTCAGTGCATTTTGGCGAATTATGTCGCTCGCGTCTTTTGAAATCTTTTCGCTATTTCTTCGACAGTGTTAGAAGTGACCTACAAGCTAATAACTCTTCTAGACTTATGTTCAGTGATGTAAGGTAGGCCACACACCGGCATGCGTCAAGACATGTACGTGGTGCGTTCCGTAAATAATGCCTCCAATTTTTTTGTGTTAATATGTAACATCTGAGCTGGATGTTGGTGTTGTAGTAAAGGTTGAACCTTCCCGCCAATGTACTGTTAGTTTGGTTGTCATGCGACAGATAGCGACAGCAGAGCAGTCTACCAAAATGACGTCTGGCATAGAAGTGCGTATCAAACACAGATGTGTTATTGAATTTCTCACTGCCGAACAAATTGTACCCATTGACATCCATCGACACTTGCTAAAGGTGTACGGAGACGATACAGTGGAGGCGGTGGGTAGTGCGTTTCAACAGTGGCGAAAGTGAAGTGCACGACAAGCCACGCTCTGGGCGTCCCTGCTCAGCTGCCACTCCTCACAATGAACAGCGCCTCATACGAACAGATCAGCAGATAACGACCAGGGACAGTCAATTCTAAACGCTACAAGACGACGCTGACTAAGCTGAAAGCCCGTATTTCCCGAGTCAGGCCAGAGAAGCAGACAACCTTTCGCTTACAACTCGATAACGCTAGACCCCATACCAGTTTGGCGACCACCGCGCACATTGCAAAGTTTGGCTGGACTGTCCTACCACATCCACCTTATAGCCCTGATTTAGCACCTTCAGACTTCCATCTCTTTGGGCCTATGAAAGACGGACTACGTGGGCAACATTTTCCAGACAACGATGCTGTCATTGCAGCTGTAGGAAAGTGGCTAGCCTCTGCTGGCGCAGACTTTTACGGGCGCGGCATACAGGCTCTTGTTCATCGCTGGCAAAAGTGCATAGCGAATGGTGGTGATTATGTGGAAAAATAGCTGTAAGTAGCTGAAATCTTGCTCTATATAACTGCGTTAGTATGATTTCTGTATCTGTTGTAGTTTTCTTAAAAAAATAAGAGGCATTATATACGGAACGCCCGTAGTAACATTCAAGACACGATGTCTGCGTCATGACTCAAAGCAAGGAGCACAATTGAAACAAATGAGATTATGAAAACCGTCGCACACCGGTCTGAGTCACGATGCTGACGTCAGCTTCATGCTGACGAATCACGAATGAAGCAAAACTGCATCTTTTGTCCCATGTCTTGAATGCTTGTCTTGACGCAGTTGGTGTTCGGCCGCCCTAAGGGTAACTGTCATGTCTGTATGTCGTAATTTCAAATTCTGTTTCGTTAAACTCATTGCATGGAAATGACGTAAGTCAAATTATGTATTGTTCTATGAGCATTTCCCGGATTTTATGTAGAGTTCTGCATAGTGCTTCAGTCTGTAAGACAGCGCCGCTGAAATGCAGACAGTACCAATTCTCACGTGAGCAGTGGGCTTGTGAAGGAGCATATTCAGTTGAAATTACCACGTACAGTACCTTCTCACTGACATTTGGGGGGGGGACGTATTTTGCATATTGTCACGTGTTCAGGGTCCCGTGACGAATAATAACGGATTATGGATCTGATGACTGGATTTATTAACACATTCTTTTACAGTCTCTCTTAATCACAATCAATTATAGCGCTATCGTTAATCTACCCACTTCATAAATCACTAGTACACGCTCCATCCTCATCCTTGTACTCTCAACTACTGCCAGCTTCGGAATTCACTTCTCTCATAACCACTTTGCACGAACCCAACGGAAAACACAGCCTGTATTGACCTCGCCGTTGCTTAGCAGTGGATTCCATATTGTTGTCACGCGCATAAGCGGAAAGGTGTTTACCGGCCAATTTCCTAGCAGTGGGCTCCCTATTGCATGCACTTGTGTTGTAGGAATGCTTTTACCAAGCCATTGCCTAGCAACGGGTATACACGGTACAATATTACCTGTA